GTCTGTCTGTCTGTCTGTCTGTCTGTCTAGTATCAAATATTAATAATTCAACATTTATGACCTCATCTGTCACATGATCAATTATACAAGTATGACGTCAAACAGATCAATCAACCCTGACTATAAATACACAAAAAAAGGTCCAACAACAATGAGGATAAAAAAAATACAACAGTTTGTATCAAATCTATGTCTAATTTCTAATCCCGCCCCTAATCTTAATCCTAACTCCTCAACAACATCTCGATCTCCGAATCCATAACATTACATTAAAAAAAATAAAAAATCTCCCTCAGATCTACAACTGTACCACCAACACACGCACACGTCCAAGTAGTTACACACATTAAAAAAACAACTGTACCACCAACACACACGCACACGTCCAAGTAGTTACACCACGGAACCACAAGGGGGCAGCAGCGCGTCAGCTCGGCCGTGACGTTTCCTCCCTGCATCTCCGCCAGTTCTAGGTCATGTCTCCAGGGAGATTATTATTCAATTATTAAATGAAGATCGAAACAGTGTTTCTCCCAGCACTCCCTCAAACCCTGCTTTATCTCCGCACTCTCCCTTTCACTCAGCCACTCATTTAGGAGCAGCATGAACATTAAATTAATTGCTCGACATCCTCATCTCTGGCTCTCTCCTCTTTCCTTTCCTCTTTCCTTTCCTCTTCCCTCCTTCCTCTCCTCCTCCTCGTTTCTCCTCTCCTTCCCTCACCTCCCCTCCTCCTCCCTTCCTTTCCTTTCCTTTCCTTTCCTCTCCTCTCTTCTCCTCTTCTCTCCTCTCCTTCCCTCACCTCCTTTCCTTTCCTCTCCTCTCCTCTCCTCTCCTTCCCTCACCTCCTTTCCTTTCCTCTCCTCTCCTCTCCTTCCCTCACCTCCTTTCCTTTCCTTTCCTTTCCTTTCCTTTCCTTTCCTTTCCTTTCCTTTCCTTTCCTTTCCTTTCCTTTCCTTTCCTTTCCTCTCCTCTCCTCTCCTTCCCTCACCTCCTCTCCTCTCTTTTCCACACATCATTTAACCTGCAGAGAAGATTTGCTTCTTGTGGTATTAGCAGTAAAAAACAATCATAAAACACTTGAAGGGAACAGAATTTACTGTGAATGAGAGACAGTGAGTGCAGGAGAGGGAGAGAGAGAGAGGGAGGAGGGGGGAGAGAGGTGTGATGGGTGAGAAAATAAGAGTGGTGAGAGATGAGTCTGGTTCCTCGCAGGAGGCCTGAGTTCATGCAAATTGAGCTGAAGAGCACCGAGAGCCAGAGGGCGCTGAAAAAACAAAAACGACGCTGTTGAAGTGGTTTACAACAGTCGTCGTCGTCGCCGTGGTGATGGAGCAGCGGTGGAAAAGAAACAGGAAATGAGCCTCACTGTGTGTGTGGGTTTGAGTCTCACAGCTTTACAGTAACCGCTGACACCAGGTGTCTCCAATCACTGGGGCGGGGACCAGTAACGGGTCAGTAACTTGACTTGGTTAAGGTCGGCATATAAAGAAAAAAAAAAGTAATTTGAAATTATTTAATTAACCATAGCCTGGTACGGTGTGATGGTATTTTATTTTGAAAAAACAATCACTTCCACCTGCTCCTCCTGAGACCAGACGTCCATGTAATAATAACAGCGGTAAATAATTATGGTTATAAAATATATAATATCTGTGCATATACACACCCCTGCTGGTGGTCCATGGGCATGACTGTCAGAGCTGAAGTTTGAGCCCAGAAAAGTAACTTTAAAGTCCAGACTACTGTTACTGTTTCTACTCTTCGTTATTACATTTCAAAGGTGCGTTTGATTTAATCACCTCTGCGTCTCTTTCAGAAAAGATAAAAAAAAACAAAGGTTTGTTCGTTGGTGAAGAAACGCCTCAAACCAAACGCTCCTTCACGTGATTGGTCTGAAGTGACTCTCAGACTCGGACCAAACGACCGAAGTAAGTTTGGTTTCAAAGTCCATTCACTCACAGACTCAGCTCAGTCGCTAACCCCGCAGTCGTCAGTTACAATCACAATTAGGTTTAGTGCAAATCAAAGATTTTAATCAACAACCAACACGTGAGCGTCTCACAGTTACTGTAATTACTGAAGTGACACACAAACACTGTGATTAAATTCAGACATGGGTTTGATCAGAGAAAAAAAACTAGAGAAAAAAACCAACAACAAATTGATTATCAACACAAACGAATCTGCTAATTCTATTCAACTTAATCAGTTAATCTTTTTTTTTTATCCTCATCCACAAACAAACGCCCCCCCACTCCCTTCCTTCACAGCTACTAACCCTACTCACAATCAAACGAGTTCTCGACAACTAACTCAAACCCCAAAAACCTCACGGATCAAAGCTCACTTCAAAAAAAAAAAAAAAAAAAATCACCAACACCATAATTGAAAACACTGTGTTTGAGGAGGTGTGTGTGTGTTTGACACGTACGGTGATTTATTATAATTACATCACACTGTATGGTATGGTTTCTGTTTTTGGCGGCGTTCTGTTTTGCCCGCCCACACGGCACACAGATGCTAATTAGCCGGCAGCTAATTCTGGTGATTATTTCTAATTGCACGCTGTCTTGGTAAAAAAAAAAAAAAAACAACAATAAATCAAATCAAATTTAGATTACTATTACAATTACATACTTTCTGCTGGTGTAGATAATTAGAAACAGACCTCCAATCAGACGTTCCTAATGAGATGCAAATATTTAATCCAGTATAAAAAAAGTCGGGTCAAAGAAAAACGTGAGATTAAATCCCACGTTTGTCTGATACCAAGAGACATATATGTGTGAATATATTTATTCAAATATATATGTAAATATATATAAATATAAATATTTGTGTCCATATATGTAAACTGACATATATTTAAATATATGTCAATTTACATATATTTAATTATATATGTCAATATATGTTGATATATATTTCTGGTACTTGTTTAGGTGAACTAACCCAGTTTCTTCCTACCGCGTTAGCTCCTGTGGTGTAAATCGAGACAAACAACTAAATAACGACCTTCACGTCAGGTGAATTATTTTGTTTTTATTTGTTTAACCCAGTGAGAGTCCCAGTGAAATCACAAATCTGCTTTTCAAGGGCGTCCTGGACGAGGAGCAGCAACACGACCCACGGATAGAACCACATTATAGTTAAAGAAAACGGCCGCAGTTTAACAGTTAATCTGTCGAAAGTCATTTACAGACGAAAGGAGAGAAAAACATTTTAAAAAAAGTTTTCATTTATCGTTTTTTTTTTTTTTTGCAGGACCTGATTCTCTTTCCAAAACTGTATTCTATATTTAAAAAGTCCATTGAGACAATTTTTAAAATTTTTTATTTCTACTCTACAATTTATAATTGAAAAGTTAGCGTTGGCATCGCTTTAAATAGATGTAAAATAAAAAGTAATTGAAAAATAAAAAAAAAAAGAAATATGAAAATATTTTAATAGACTAACAGAAAAAAATCTAACATTCACCCAAAAGGAACATCAGTGACATTACTACGTCTCATAAATTCAACAATAAAAAATATATTTAAACAAAACCTGTCAGTTCTTTTCATCTT